TTTATTTATAGGACAATGCTATAGATTCTATTAATACTCTTTTTTTAATATATCACAATGTGTAATTATTTATCAATTATATAAACATTACATCATCAGTTATTTAATTAACCAAAAAAATTACATCTTTATTAATAAAAATGTAATTCTTAACCAAAAAAACTATATATAAACTAAGTAAACGTGCATTGCACGTTGCTTAAACCTAGTTTTTAAAAATAAATGTAATCATGCTTTTGAACGTGTATTTAACTACATTTTGAAACCAAAGGAAAAATGGAAAATCATTCTCTTGTTAAAGTTATTCTATAAGCTTTTGGGAAAATCATTATCTTGTTTTTCACATTTTCATTAAAAAAGAGGAATCATATTCCATACCCTAAAGTGTAATGCTATTTGCAATGTTTCATTTTCGTAGTCGCCCTACGTCGCGTATATGTGGTGGTTAGTAATCTGGTACATTAATATGATAACTTTTTATTGCCTCATATATCAAAGAGTAATGCTACTTGCAGTCGTTCACTGCAACAGTCGTCCTATGTGGCATACACATGGCATGCAGTTATTTGATGCATTAATGTGGTAGTTTTTTTAAATGTATCAAATACATACTTGATATGTGTGTGCCACATAGGGCGACTACTGCAGTGAGCGACTGCAAATAACATTATTCTATATCAAATCATTAACCGCCACGTGTATATCATGAATAACTGCAAATAACATTATTCTACTCTAAAAGAAGAAGATAGAAACATTTATGATTAAAGAAAAACACGGAAAATATCATAGGTTGTCATGATCAAGTCAACTTTTACTTCTATTCAATTAATTGATTTTAAAAAATTATTGTACACATAAAAATATATTTTGTTGTTCAATTGAATATTCCCACAATCCCTTGAGCTTATCTATTCCTAGTGTCTCCTATAAGCTCTATAGTTTAACATCGAGAATGAGTTTGTCGATAGTCAAATAAAAAATCGTTCGCTCTAAATCTAGCCATCACTTCATAGTGCTGGTGGCATCCTAGCAACCTTTGAGATATTCGAGTGATGCCCTTGTTGGTTCGTATTTTTCAAAACTCATTTTCAACCAAACATTTTATGATATCCATAACTTTTATCAATTTTTTAATCATATATTTCAACTTTGATCAAAATTCACTAAAAATCTAATGTTTATCAAAACCAAATAAGGAATATATTTTGTTTTGTGCAAGTAAAATGAAATATAACAACTTTTCAAAACTGAAAAGCAAACCGAACGACAGGATTTTAAACTTTGACAATGTTATTCTCATAGGCAACGATTTTGGATTACCTACATGTCCCATCGATTTACTTATTTTTTCAATATTATTTTTCTAAATAAATAATAAGATATGGAGGTGTGAAGTTGGCTGGGTCGGACCATTCAGCCCAACCCACCTGCTTTCACAGAGGTCTAGCACCACCTGCCCATTAAGTGGTAATTACACTAAACAAGGTGTTTAGTTTCAACTTTCTAAAAATCAGGTTTAAACGTTTTTAATCAAAAATCAGGTTTTAATTTCACAATTAATATTGATAATGATATTTTAAATTAAATTAATTTATATACCCACACATACCCCCACCGCCACCCCAAATTTCACAAAATTCCCAAACCTCCTCCCGTCTCCTCCGTCCTCCTCCCCTCTTTCCTCCCGTCTCCCCTCCCTTCTCCCGTCTCCACCCAAAATACTGGCAGCAGACACAGTAGCGCTGCACAGCTGCTGCGATAGCAGTGCGACGCTGCTGCTGTGTCGTAGCAGCGACGCTGCTTGGAGCAGCGTCGCAAAGCAGCGCGATGCTGCTATGCGACACGCTGCTGTGTCGCACAGCAGCGTCGACGTTGCTGCCAGCCTTTTGGGTGGGTGGACGAGGAAATTGGGCGGTGGATCTGTGGGTGTGGATCTTTTGCAAGTGGGCGTGTGGCTCAGCGATGGGTGTGTGGATTTGTTGCAGGTGGGCGTGTGGATCTGTTGCAGGTGGATCAGCGATGCATCTATGGGTGTGGGGGCAGATCTGTGTGTGTGGCGGATCTGTTGGTGGTGGTTTGGGCTGATATTGTTGGTGGGTG